ACTAACTAACTTCCTCAGACTTGGTAGATACGTTTTTGCTGCCTTCACTTGTACCGGCACTGCGTTTCCTCGCAGACTACCTGTGGGTAGAGCAGAAAGAGCAAAAGGCAATTATCAAAATCTTGCAACTCATCCTGCTACCCAGCTCTATTTCCGGGGAGGCAAGCACCATGTTATCATCAGTTCGAAATCTAGTAGCAAAACCACTGGAGCACTCGCTGCGGACATATCAGCGCCAGGACCCCAAGAACCAGGATATCCAGCCACTGTTGAGAGCTCTTAAGGACAGCCTGCCGCTGTCACGGCGAACCGGTGGCGCAGATCACAATGAACTCCAATCGTGGACCAACAGCTCCAGCGCGGGACTTGCAGGCGCCTTGAGACACACAGTACAGGGTCTCGTGCAATGGAGCATGCATCCGAGTGTTAATAGCATGCCCACATCTTACACACACAGACAGTTAATCGCTGCGCAAAAAATCATGGGAGCCAAGCGGACGCTCCGACTTCTTCTGGAGGAAGTCCGCACGCAATCCGAGACGGGCAGCGCCAACATTGTGTACGACGCCGTAGCGGCAATTGTTTGCGCTCCCAACGTCACCAATGAGCCTCCGCCAAACAACCAAATGATGGACGCATCGGGCAATGTTCCGCCCGCCGTTCAACGGCCCCTGACGCTCCGTGAAGTCCTGCGCCTCGAAGCCGAAGGGTGTAACAAGCTACAAAAGGCGGACCCTGTGCTGGCCGACATTGTGGTCCGCCTCTATCGCCGCGTTGAAGCACACATGGTGATGCCCCAGAACCAGGCTATTCTCGAGGCACCGGGTATCCAGCTCGATCTTGGCTCTGGGGCAGGTGGTCTCGGGGATGTTGATGCCATGGCGGCTGTTGGTGTTGGCGCAGACGGCATGACGGTTGACGGGCTGGACATGGGTATTGGCGGCCCGGGAAGCGCAGGCGGATTGGATGCCACTAGCGACGGCGATTTGTTTGGCGGCCTGGACACGAATGGTATGGATATGTTTGGCTGGGGAGACAGCATGGACTTGAGTGGGAATTGAAGCGTGAGGGTATCATTATTGGGGGGAACATGTAACAGTATATGGGCTGTAGGGATATCCTCAAAGCTATGTCTCTAGACGTGTATTAAAACCAACATGCCTATTCTGGGACTTGGAGTTTCATAAAGGTCCGTCTGCGGTTTCTTTTTCCCGAGTAGGATGTGTGCATACCTAATTGTCGGACTTGTATGATTCGAAAGGGTTTACCTCGCGTCTCTGTGGCATCTGTCCGCCCGGGTTGGTGTTGGGATCACTCGTTATGGAGAATATGACGCCCCTGCAGACCCTTGCTTCTCGTCGTGACAGGAATTCGAGGGCCGAGTGTATTAGTGATCTATCCTACCTGCTCTATCCTTTTGTGTTGGAAAGTGTTTGGGTGCTTGTGGATGTGCTGCCGCCCGTCGCCAGCGCAGCAGCCTCACGTACGCACGTGCGGTGGTCTGATTTCTGCCCAAGCATGCTGAAAAGGAGGTGGTTTTGTTCATGTTCCTTGTAGTTTGGTTGTAGAAGACAATAGCTAAGCTCGAATGCTGGTACTTAGACTGTTAACTCGTATTTGTTGAACGTCAGGCGCAAGCTTGTGACATGTACGTTGGGAGCCTGCGAGTCATGGAGGAAAGGTGCTTCTGACGACGCGGGTGCGCCTCCGTGATCCTCATTGGAAGCCTTCGTGAGGCGGCGCGAGTGAAAGCAAGAATTGCTGCTACTCCGTTTGCTCTATCCGTATTCACAGCCTCTGATACCGATCCCCCGCCACCCGTGAAGCTATTGACGAGTCCTTGTTGGAGTAGTGAACGTGTCGAGATCCTGCCTCGACGGGTATAAATTGGCACGGCTTGCCCATGTCCATTGAACGCACCGCTATTTTCCGCATAAATCTTTCCCCCTCGATTTCATCGAATCTCTAAACACATCGATTCATTACTTCACAACGATCCCTCGGCCAGCTGCTGGCTCGAGCCTGGTCACTGTTCCCAGAACACCACGGCTCAGTGGAAGATCTCCTGCAAGAGGAGGGGCTCAATTTCCATTTTCACCACACCGACAGGGAGTCTGGCCATATCAAAGGGTATGATACCAATGTCATGGGCCGCTTCGCCTGTCCCAACGCAAACTGCACCCAGCAAGGCTGGTCCAGCAAGATGATCGCCGTCTGGATTCGTCTGTACTCTGGCTCGCGATACAATGCGAGGGTTTACAATCAGCGGTGCAAGTCCTGCAACTCGCTTAGCCGGCCAACTTTAGATGACTCGTACGCGGAACGAATTGCGTACCGTCTGAAGAAGTGGTCCAACATTGAGGTTGAGCCGCCTCACTACTCTGGCGGGAGTGGAAAACCGCACGAGAGGGATCTGTGTGAGGGGTGCAAGAATGGCCATTGTGCAGACGGAGAGCTGGAGGAGAGGATGAGATCGTTTTGCTTTTAGTTTTGACTGGTTGTTTTTCTCTGGGGATATGTAAGATCGTGGGCATGAATAGGGGTTGTTTCATGTCCTGGACTTGTGGCTAGGATTGGTCAATTGGCAATTGGTGCCTTTGTCGGTTGGGACCCCAACACAGCTCTGTTTTTTTTTACTTTTGCATTCTCACCCGATTTGGGGCAATACGTCAAAAGAGAGACGAGAATAGAACCACCGCATTTACTCCTATTTTCTTCTAGAGATGAATGAATTGCGTTTTTAATCTTGCAATTTCTGCACCCCCAACCATCGCGCGTCGCATAACCATCGCACCCATGTGACATTACCACTGCTATCAGCGTTTGACCACACGTCGCCATCGAACACCCAGGCTGCAATGGGGACATTTATCCGGGTTTTGGGATGGGCGACTCTAGTTTCCATCGCGATTTCGGTGAATACTGATACATCCGACTTTGACTGGAATGCCGTCGAGCCGTCGTGGCATCTTCACTATTCACCATGCTACGACGGGTTCTAATGTGCTCGCCTTCTCATGCCATTGGATTGGCTTGATGCCGAACCGTCAAACGAAACGGTAGCTCTGTCCATGATCAAACTACCAGCTGCCGTGGACTGCAGCGATGCCTCCTTTGGCGGCACTGTCATCACAAACCCCGGAGGTCCGGGCAGTTCTGGCGTTCGTCACGTCCTTAAAAACGGCCGCTACATGCAAACCATGATGGATGGCGAGAAGCACTTTGAGATCATGTCCTTTGACCCAAGGGGCGTGGCACATAGCAAACCAGCCGCAGATTGCTACGCCAGCGAGCCCGCGCGAACAGCCGCCGCCTGGCAGAGTCGAAGCTTCACCAATTTCGACGCGTCTGCCGAGAATCTCAAGTACCAAAAGGCATTCGCGGCTGCGCGAGGCCTTCAATGTGCAAAGCCCGGCCCCCACGGCTACGCCATTCAAGAGTACATGGCTACGGCGTCGGTTGCTCGCGACATGGTCCGCATCATCGACGAGATTGAAAGCCTACATCAGAAAGCACTGGCACAAAAGCTCCAACACGAAGCTCAAAAGCCCGTGACTAGCAAGCCTGCCAATGTGGCGAGACTGCAATACTACGGGACTTCGTATGGCACCTTTCTCGGAAACACCTTCATGTCCATGTTTCCCGGGCGCGTGAAGCGCATGGTTCTCGATGGGGTGATAGTTCCAGAGGACTGGGTTGCGGCGGTAGGTATTTCACCACAAACTATACTGAGTTGGAACAAGACCGTCTAACTGTCAAGCACGTCAGGACTGGTACAGTTCCATTCTTGATAGCGAGAAAGCGCTCAAATACTTCTACCGCTCGTGCTTTGAAGCCACGGCCAAGTGTCCCTTGACCAAGTCATCCGACCATTCTTGGCATTCAATACGGGACAGAGTGCGTACATTGCTTGGCGAGTTGGACGCCAGCCCGAGACCGGCTCTGACACAAGGGGGCACAGAAACCATCATCACAGCCGGCATGGTTCGCTCGTCCCTCTTCAAAGCGCTGTACCAACCCATCGACAAGTTTGAACCGCTGGCCGAGTCACTGGCGAGTGCATTACAAGGCAACTACACTTTACTTGTTCAAAACACGGGCCTCGGCCACCCGGCAGATGGGTGTACCCCCAAGAAGCCAGGTGAATACAACTGGCTTGGTCTCTCGTCCTCGGCGATAGTATGCGGTGATGCTCAAGACGTGACGCATCACGACGAGCACTACTGGCAGGGCTACTTTGAAAAGCTGGGAGACCGGTCTCCGGAATTCGGACACAATGTTGCCAAAATACCCTTCACGTGCTCCGGATGGAAGAGCAGGCCGAAATACAGATTCACCGGGCCATTTTCGTCCCCGGAATCAGACCCCAGCAACAAACAGGAACGACCCTCTGCGCCGGCTCTGTTATTATCGAGCTGGGTCGACCCTATCACGCCGCTCCAGAACGCACACAGGGTGTCAAAGAGCCACCCGGGGTCGAGGGTCTTGTCACAAAGGTCCGTGGGGCATTGCGCCTTGTATTCGGCGCCGAGCAAATGTACCAACAGGGTGGTGCGGACGTACATGACCACTGGTGCACTTCCGGATGAAGGCGCGCAGTGCGAGCCGGATTGTGTGCCCTGGGAGCAGTGTGATGACGAGAGAACGTCGCTGCCGCGGTGAACGGGAGTGCGTACACTGGGAAGCAAAGGTAAAGAAACCAAACAATGTATTTGTATACAGCCGTGCCCATGCTCTAGGGATACGTTTCTTCGGAGAGGCTGTAGACTCGCTCTTATTATCCGCGGATACAGAGACTTGTACTTGCAGAGTAAACCTGCAGCCGCTGAGACTGGAGCTTCTCCATTCATTCACACGCGTTCTCTCTTTGAAGTCGTGGCGGAAACCCAACAGCCTTTTACACCTACCTAGCTCCTCGGGCCATTTGTGAAATCGCCCGAATCAACTAGACACTGCTACAACAACAACTTCGTAGCCCCGTGACAGAATACCAGAATCTCTCACGGCGTAACAATATTAAAGTTCCTGTCCCCCGGATCCAGCAGCCCCCCGAGCCTCGCCAGCATCGAGACATCCCCGTCAATCTCGATCCCGGCCGCCCTCAAAGCATCCGGACCCCGTCCCAAACCCACCAGCGCACAAAGCTGCCTCCGCGTCGCCGAGAGCGTCACGTCCGGGCTCGTCTCCGGCCTCGCCGCCGAATACACCAAGACCCCGTTGGACAGCCACAGCCTGTACCGCTCGCCGGCGTCCACCAGCACCACGTCAATCGCCAGCCTCTGCCCCCACGCCCTCGGCCCGTCGACCCTGACGGCCAGCGAGTCAAACACCATCTCGGGCGTGAGCTGGCCGACCACATCCCCGGAAGCAGTCGACGTGGGGGCGCCAAACTTGCCGCCGCGCAGCTCCGCCGCCCCCGACATGTAAAAGTTCCGCCACGGCCCGTTCTCGCTCCCGTAGCCCAGCTGCTCGTACGTATCTGCCAGCAGGCCCCTCGCCTCGGCGTGCTCGGGCTCCGCAAACACGACGTGGTTGAGAATCTCGGCCGCCCAGCGGAAGTCGCCCTCACCAAGGGCCTCCCTCGCGCGGTCGACGACCTGGCCCGCGCCCCCCGCGAGCTTCAAGTACCGCCGGGCGCGGTCGACAGGCGGATGCTCCAACAGATGGGACGGGTTGCCGTCGAACCAGCCCATGTAGCGCTGGTAGATGGCCTTGACGTTGTGGCTCAGGGAGCCGTAGTACCCGCGGGCGGCCCAGGCGCCCTCGAGCGCCGGCGGCAGCGCCATGGCCTCGGCGATCTCGGGCCCCGTGAGCCCCCTGTTGAGCAGGCGGAGCGTCTGGTCGTGCAGGTAGCCGTACAGGTCGCGCTGCGAGGCGAGGAAGTCGACGGCGCTGCGTTGCCCCCAGGTCGGCCAGTGGTGCGAGGCAAACACCACGTCGGCCCGGCCGCCAAACAGGTCAATCGTCTCGGTGAGAAGGCGGCTCCAGCGGTGGGCGTCGCGGACCACGGCGCCGCGCGGCGTCAGGATGTTGTGCAGGGTGTGCGTCGCGTCCTCGGCGGCGCAGAGCGCCC